GGAAAAAGAGTCCTGATTTCCCGTCGGGGTTGGGGGAGGGTGGCTAGAATTGGGATAGATTCTTAAGCGTGAGCAGTGCATCTGACTTCATCTGCTTCCTCTCTCTCTCTCTCTCTCTCTGCCCCTCCCTCCCCCCCTTAATACATAGCATTTTTATCATCCTTAAGACAAAGTAGCTGGCAAAATATTTAAGCGATCCGAAAGAAATGTTTTTATTTGCCCGTGTGCGAATTGGGTTATCTGCCGATCTTGTTTATGAAATTTGGGGCTGCCTTTCCAGCAGTCTGTTCGCCTCTCAAATCTTTCCCGGCTCCCATTTCCATATTTCTGCGTGCATGTTCTTTGTTAATCACTTGGCAAGCGCTTATTTGAATATTAAAAATTTCTTTAATCATCAAAGGCAGGAGCACAGTCTCATGAATATTCATATTTTCCCCCCTCCTCAGACTGGATTCTAGTTCATTACCCTGCAGTAAAAGCCAAACAGCCATCAATCGCCCTCATTACAGGCTCTGGCGTTTTGATTGGCTGCCTGCTGCCCAGAGCTTTTTTTTTTTTTATTTTTTTATTTTTTTATTTTTTTTCCCTCTTTTCCTGTGAGCTGTCTTGTACCTGCCAACAACCCCCCCCCCAAAAAAAAAATCAACAATGCAAGAATAAATTTCTCTGGTTGAAAAACAACTTTGCAAACTTGTCAAACAGTCCTCATGGCTTGCTGCTGCTGAAGCGGTCACCACCACTACCTCTCCCCCGCACGCCCCCACCCCAGCACCACCTCTTTAAAAAAAAAAAAAAAAGAACCCGGGAAAAAAGGGTGGGGGAGAGAATTAAATAAATAAATAAAAAGGGAGAAACTTGAGCCTCAGAGATGAATATTTGTCAAGAGAGTTGACGTAAGTTTCATTTGCATAATGACTTTGTACTTCTGCATTAATAAAATTTGCATATGAAGCCATGTTAATTACTCCTGATCATGCTTTTTGCATTCATGCATAGTAATTTTCTCCGACTTGTGAGAATTAATGTCTTGGCATGGGGGGAGGGGGCGCGGGGATTGTCAGGTTTTCTTGCCAGTGGCCCTCGCTCACAAGCGCTCGCTCCCTGTCTGTCTCCCTCCTTGATCTATGACTCATTTTTGCACTATCAGTAGGAGTTCTTGGCTTAAAAAATGTATCAATTGAAAAGCACCAGTAGGGAGAAAAATACATATCTCCTGCACACAGTGTATACCAGAGCTCCTCTCGCTGGCTGGGGATCTGTAGCCCCCTCCCCCGTGGGAGGGGCGCCCGAGGATTCAGCCTCGAGAAAGGTGCACGCTCCCCTCACCACCAGGCTGGGGCTCTTCCAGGCGCGTTTTTTTTATGTGTCTACACGCCGGTGGGTGTGGGCGTGCTCTCGGGGCAGTGCGCATGTGTGAGGACGGAGCAGGAACATCTGCAGGGCCCCTCTAGAAGGGAGACAGGTTACAGACACCCTCAGAATGGATGCGGCGAAAAACTGCCTCGTACCCTAATTTGGAACCGAAGAAACATTTTAGGGATCTTATTTTTGGATTTCGTTTGTGCCTCTTTGTGCAGGAGGCATAGAGCAACATCCTAACCCCTGTGAGCCTCGGTTTCCTCCTTTTGTGAGGGAAGGTTGTAACACCTCCTCCTGGGAAGGCTGCTGGCCTTAAATGATATGATACATGTGTTGATTGTTTCCTTTTCTGATAATGAGAGCCAGCTTCCATGATAAGGAGGGGAGCCAGCCAGGGTTTTATTTTTAAGCCACCTGGATCCTGCATAAAGCTGAGATGGCGTCTTGGTGTCCCTCCGCTGTATACCTCGGTGCTGTTCCAATTCCAGAGGGGAACCCACCTAGACCCCAGAAGAAACCCATTTTTAAAAGGGTGTCTTGCAGGGCTTGGTCAGGTGCCTTCTAGAGTGGAGAACACCGGACAGACATTCCCTGGCAGGCCGTGGGGAGGGAGCAGGATGAGTTCCAGAGTGGAAAATAAATGGATGGTGGTGGCCGTTTGTTTGTTGACTGTTCACTGGAAGCCAGGCCCTGGCCAGACTTGTCCTGACCTTCCTTTGAAGGTGGGGCTCTGAGAAAGTGACTCACCCTGGGTCACGTGGCCAGGAAATGGCAGAGGGGATTGGGCCCAGGCCTCTGCTCCAGGGCTGCGTCTGAGCTCCGGCCTTCCTCTGTATGTCGGTCTGTTGTCACCGGGTCTCAAGGGCTCTGTCGAGTGTGTTCTGGATTTCCTGTCTGCACTTTTGATGGCAGGCACTCCTTCCTTGCGGATAGGCAAGAGTTGGGACGTGGCCTGGGATTGATTGGTGCTGAGGCCAGACAGTCCTCACCTTGGACTTGGCCATCTTAACCACTTGAACGTGTACAGTTAGTGGTTTTGAGCGTTTTCACGATATTGTGCAAACATCACTACCACTGTTTAATTCCAGAACCATTCGTCATTCCCAGAAGAAACCCTGTCCCCATTAGCCTTCACTCCCCCAGCCCTGGCCCCTGGCAGCCACTTGTCTACATTCTATCTCTGTGGATTTGCCAGCTCTGGACATCTATAGTCACACAATAGATGGCTTCTAGCATCACCTTCTGCTTTTGCCCTGGCTTTGGGACTCCCGCCTTTGGACAGAGTGCTCGTGGATTAAGCTGCTGGGGGGGGGGGTGTTTTGGGGAGGGATCCCCCAGGGCAGAGGTCTTCTGAGAGCAGCTGGAGTGTCCTCTGTGGGCAGCTCAGGATTAGAAGCCACTCACTCTTGCTGTCCCCTCCCCTGCCTCCAATTGAGCCAGCTCCTGGAGCAGGTGGTCTTCAGTGAGGTTGGAATTCGTAATGGGGGCATGAGGAAGCCCCTCTAGGGGGCAGCTTAGCTTGGTCCCTCACCCCTACCTGCGTTGGAGGATGGCTTTGCTTTTACAGATTCCAGCCTAACCTGATCTCTCCTTTTGGAAAGATCTGTCCTTAGGTCCTTCCTCCTAACCTTGGAGACACACATTCTGCTCCCTTTCCCCCTGGCATTCCTGGGCATTCCTGTCTACTCTCTCTCAGTCCTGATAAATGGTGGTGGCTGTGCCATGGTTTTACTCAGAACCAGGGGCCTGGATTCACTCTTTTTCGGCCTTCTGTGGCCTGAGCCCAAGGACCCTCCCCCCACCCCCGCTTCCCTCCACCCCACATGGCCCTTCTTCTCAGCATCCCGGGGTGCCCTGCTCATCCCAGAGGGAGGCTGGGGGACACAACTGGGTTCAAGTCCCAGATCTCCCTGAGCCTCAGCATCCCCTGTGGGATGGGGATGGTTTTCTCAAACGAGTGAGGTATTGGTGGTGAACTGCCTATGTGGTAGATGCTTAGCACAAGGCCGCGTCAGGAGCCTTCCATGGTGTGAAGGCAGGTTGATGTACACAGGGCCAAATGTGCCGTGTCCAGTGCTGGGGGAGGGATTTAGGCAAGGACTGGCTGGGGCAGGCTTCTGGGAGGAGGTGGGTGACACTGGTCTAAGGTGCCAACTTCTTGCACTGAAGCTGTGGCCAGAACTATGTGGGGTCATTGGCCATGTCCTTCCTTCTGGAGCTGGCATGGCCTCAGCAGCGCCCTGGGTCCTGAGCCTCGCCTCATACGAGGTCTTCATTGGTGCAGAGAGGCTTTGGCTTCTTGGAAGGATGCGTGCAGGTCTTCTCAAAGGTCCTGGTGCCCCTAGTCCTCGGTAAGACACGATTTGTAGAGGCGGATGCCGTAGTGAAAGAGCATTTGTTCCAGAGCCAGGTGGCCAGGGCCAGGGCTGGGGGTGAGGGGGCAGTTTTCTGTGGTCAGGTCATCAGTTTCCCGGTCTGTGCAGCGGGTCTCCCAGGCCCTCCACGGGCCTGTTGGGAAGCCCACTCAGGAGGGTCCTGACAGGATCCTGGCCAGAAGTGGGCTTGCGAGGCCCCATGTCTCTCCTGGGTGCAGGGATCCCTCTTGGGGGCCCCGAGGTGGGCAGACCCCCACCTTGCAGACCCGTGTGGGGTGGTGAGCGGCGTCGGGTGGCCTCCTTGGCAGAGCCGGCCTGGGCCCAGCTGCCCTCATCTTGTTGGTGTTTTCTTTTTGTGTCTCTGATGCTTCTCCGCTCAATTATTTACCCAGGGAATTTGGGCTTCTTCACTTGTGGTTTTGGCAAGGGCTTCACACAGATTTTTGCCCTGGTGGTCTCTTAGCCATTTAAGATAAACGGCCAAATCAAACGCAGGCCTTGCCGGGGAGTTGAGGCGAACTGTGGGGCTGGGCGGAGGAGGCAAGAGAGCTCCTGGCCCTGCGGCCTGGCTGTCAGATGGGGGAGGCGTCCCAGCCGGGCCCCAGGCGTTAGGAGGGGTTCTGGGCAGTGCCGGGGTTTTCTTGGGGGTTGGGGGGCGTTCAAAGCCTTCTGAAAGGCCTCGGGGCTTGTGCGCTGTGCTTGATCAAGCTCAGGTTGCTGAGGAGGACCGTGGGCTGGAGAGACATACCAGCTGGCCGTCTGCCAGGCCACAAGTTAACCAGTGCCCAGGTGCTCAGAGGTAGACTGAGGTGCCCAAGGCCTGTACAAACAGCCCATCCTGATAGAGCAAACGGTGGTGGCTTGGAGCTTCCCAGCTCCTCTAGAGGGGGTGGTGGTGGCCCAAGTTTTGGGGAACGAATCCCCAAAGGGAGCCAGCTCCAGAACATTCCAGAAGCCTCCACATAGTGGGTGGGTGGGGCTTCCTGGGTGCAGGGGCCCTGACCTCCTCTTTTGACCCCCCCCCCAGGGATGGGATTCTGGTCCCAGGACAGCCCAACCTGGCAGCTGTGGAAGGAGGACCCCCTCAGGCCACCCCACCCACTTCCCTGCAGGGCCTGGCACCCTGGGGCGCCCTCCCTCCCTGTCCCCCCCCAACTCTGGAAGGGTGACCTGCAGCCCTCTGCCCCGGGCCCCTGTCCCATGCCCCGGGTCCCTTGTACGGTCCAGGGCCCGACTGACCAGTCTTTTTTATTGTTTTTTCTCCAGGGCCGTGCAGGCCTGCCCAGCTGCCAGCGACGGCCCCCATAGCTGCCTCCTCCCACCCTCACTCATCCGTGATCACTCCACCTCTGCGCACCCTGGGCGCCCTGCCGCCCTGCTTCCCCCTGCCGTGCTGCAGCGCGCGCCCGGTCTCGGGTGACGGGACTCAGGGTGAGGGTCAGACGGAGGCTCCCTTTGGATGCCAGTGTCAGTTGTCAGGTAACAGACGGCCGCGGTGGCGGGGGGGCGGGCTCCCAGGGATGGCGGGGTGTGCCCGGGGCAGAGCTGGCGGCTGCCTCACCCAGGCGGGCTGGGCAAGGTGGGGGCCCAGGGAGGATGTGCCGTCCCACCCCGAGGGCATTTTGGGGGGCGCACAGGGGAAGTGCTCAAGGACATCAGCATGCCCCTGTCCCCCATCGGTCAGGAGGTCCCCGGATGCCTCCGCCCATGCTGAGTGTCTCACTCCCAGAATGCATTCCTCCGGCTTCCAAATGTCATCTCTTTGGGCTGTTTAGCTAAAGCTTAATTGGATAACACTTAACATCTGAGGTTTTCTTCTGCCCTCGCCACTACTGTCCCCTCCTCTCCCCCCGCCCCCACCCCAGTCACTGCCCCCACCCTGGAGACACCACTGGGGGAAGACTCCCTAGTCGTCTGTGCACATCGCCGGAGCCGTCCAAAATGCTGAATTTCTCTTTGCCAGAATGTGTTGCCTATTAACTTTGAGACAAAAAAGTCACTCTGAAGGAGCGTTTCAGCTGTGACTGTGGGAGGGATGAAGCCTTGTAGGGTGCCTGTGGGGTGGGGCCATGCACATACCTACTGTGTGCCTCGCTACGGGTCTGTGTGGCTGCCCATTATATGGGTGGGCAGACAGGCAGCCACAGCACAACACCCCCCACCTCTCTTCCCAAACACAACCCAGACTCCTCCTGCTGTGGCCTAAGGTCCCTGGAATTTGTGGCTAGAGGCCTCCCATCCCAGCCTCTCCTGCTCAGGGCCCAATGCCAGGACGCTGACACAGATACAGGTGGTGGTGAGTGCCCTGAGGTCTGGTTTCCAGGCAGGGGCAGGAACAGAGAAGGGTTGGGGGCGTTGAAGAGCTGGGGTGCAGAGCTGGGGCTGATTCTGTTTGTCTCAGCTTTGTCACCAGGCACATTGTAGGCTTTCTCTTGATGTGGGTAATGAAAGCTATTTTTATTGGATAGGTTTTGCTTTCATCGAAGCTGTCCCAAGGGATGGTCCCTGGTGGAGCCACAGCTCAGCAGAGGGCCACAGGTGGCCCCGGCTCCAGGGGCAAGAGCTCGCTAGGCCTTCCTGCTGGTCGGGTGGCCTGCAGCCTTCAGCAGCTCCTGCTGTGATGTCTGGTGGCATCATAGGTATGGGGCTCATGCGTTGAATGCACAAAGCTTAGACTTAAATTGTCCAGGGAGCAGTTGGCACCGCCGGCAAAGAAGCCGGCTCTCTGCCCCGGGCCGCCCGGGCACCCAGGATGATTGGGGCTCCCATCCCTGCTCTGTGATCCCTGCTTGCTGCGTGAGGCTGCCTGGTCCATCCAGGTGGTTGCCCTGCTCTCGTGGCTTCCTGTAATTAGTGCTGTAGCCCCTGCAAGCACGCAGGGGGTCGCTCTATCAAAGATCAGCCGGTGTTTCTCACTGCTCGGTCGAGTTCTGTGGTACAGAAACATGATTTCCCTGGCAGAGGTGCACCTGGGACTTCACTTAACCCTCTGGGGCTCTGGCTCTGCTCAGAAGCTACCACGCTGCGTGAGAACTGTCGCATCCCTGTTCTGCAGACCGGGAAGCCAGGGCTCAGGGCGGCCGGGTGGCTATCATAGAGATGCCTCCCTCTTCCCCTGGAGCCTCCTGCCTCTGCCTGCATCCAGGGTTGTTCCCACTGATTGGCCAGTCCTCCCACACTTGCCGTCAGCCACAGTGCCACCCTTTCCTTCAAGGGACCATGTGTTGAGGGCCTACTGTGTGCGGGATTGCACTGGGCCTTTTCTGTCCATGCTTGAATTTAATTCCCATGGTGACTATAGGAGGTAGGTTCTCTCTTCCCACTTTACAGACGAGAAAGTGAGGCTCGGAGATGTGGAGTTCTCATAGCCCACAGTCATTCGTTCTTTTATGGAAAGCCCTTTCTTGGGCACCTCGTCTGTAGGCACTGGGCAAACTGAGGTGGAGTCAGGCACAGCGGGTCTGGGCTCCCTGCAGCTTGCAGGAGTGGAGATGGGGAGAGTGGGAATGGGGACCTGCAGAGAAGATGCTTGGAAGGGGATGGAGGGCAGAGGTGGGATTTGACCCTGGCTGGTCACCCAGCACCTACTTCATGTCTGGCATTGGCTCATCTGGCCTAGAGGCCTTCTTGGACTTTAGAACGTGATGCTGTGGGGGCTTAGAGGGTCTGTGAGCAGCCCCCAAATGGATGTCAGTGCCCAGGGGGAGAAGTGAGGCGGGGTGGGGTCTGTACCTGGGGTCTCTGAGACCACCCTTCCCAACCATCCTCAGAGGCCTGCTCTCGGCCTCTCATGCCTGGCTGCGATTTCCAGCGCTGTCCTCCTTCACTGTTGGATCCCCATTAATTAGCCTGCATCATGTCCCCCCGTACTTTCCGATCAGTTTCAGTACCTGAAAATATCCTGTTCCGGAGGGTTTTGTCCCTTTGTGGCTTCTGTCCCTGGCACTGGGCTGTTTGCTGAAGTGTTTTTAGTGCCTGTTTAATTAGTAGTTGGAATGGAGTCATTAAATTCGCAGTAACCCGTTAGGAAGAAGCAGTCCTCTGTGAAGACGGAGAGGGGCCACCGTCCTTACTTTGTTTTGTCTCTTTTCAGATCAGGATGCACTGAACCTATCTCTTCAAATTAATGCGGAAAACCCCGGAGTAACCGTGTCTCACACGGGTTAATTGCATGCCCGCGAAGGCATTCACAGTTATTTATAGAAGGATGTGATTTTATGGGGGAGCAAGCCACACAGGTTTGCATGTTTGTGGACCTCTCTGGCTGGCAGCGTCCCAGACGGCCCCGCCTCCTGGGACCTGGACCCCAGACCTCCCGCTGGGCATGGAGGGGAGAAGGGACTTGGGCTCTTCAGTGCTTTTTGACTCTGCTGAGATAATGGGAGGGCTTTGTGTCTGGCCGTTCCTGGAAACTGAAGTTTTTTCCCTGAGAAATTTCACGTAGGAACTTCTCGTGGAGTCAAGAAGCTCGGGCTGTGGTCCTGGCCCTTCCTCCACCTGGCTGGTGACCTTGGATGAGCCGGCCTCCCTCTCTGGGCCTGTTTCCTCTTCTGTAATAAAAACCATATATGTGAATACACACATATGTGCAGATCACATGATGTATATACATAATGTTTGAAAATGAGGCTGCACGTTTGACTTCTAAAACAGATCGTATTGATCTGCCTCAGTTACTGGCTGCTGTGGATGGCTGGGCACGTGACAGGGCTCAGGTTCCCGGGGCAGGGCTGGGGTATTCAGAGACCAGTTCAAAAACCTCTGGGCCTTGGCTCCCCTGAACCTTTCCCCATCCCAGGGTCTCCGTGACCTTCAGGCGTCACAGAGTCTAACCACTGCCCGACTGCAGGCTGCTGTTTCTGTGTGGCTCTGTGACCTTGGTCAAGCCATTTCCTCCTTGTTCTTCAGTTTTTCCACCTATAAAATGGGGGTAATGATAGTATGTGCCTTGAGAGATTGCTTTGGGGATCGAATGAGGTCCTCCTGTATGCCAGGTACTGAGACCGGTGCCTCCTGCTGAGTGAGCCCCTTAGAGGTTGTGATTCACGTTTGTGCAAAACGGGTTTTACAGCAGGATATGGTGACGTGTCCAGCACTGTGTGGAATTTTACATCAGGCGCGATCTGCAGCTTGCATTCTTGAAGGCCTTTAGCCTCTTAGCTGGCTCAGATCATGTTACCAGCGTGGTGAGGTGGGAAAGGAACCCAGAAACTTCATTGCATATTTAAGAGCCACAAATGGTCATCAGCTACCGTGATGAGTACGTGCGCTCGGTGACGTTCAAGGTCTCACGCAAGAACACACAGGATCCCAGCTCGGGGAAGTGGAAGTGTTTGGATTTAATAGAAGGAGTCAGTTGCAGTCATTAGTAGATGCTGAAATCACAGGGCAATCTTGTAAAGTTAAATTCAATTTACTTTTCTCCTGAAATTGTATTTGCTGTGTTATTTAACTAGTCTGGGGTTTCTTGGCATGGGTTAAAGGGACAATAAAGATAAAAGAATACCTGTAAGTAAATAGTAGGGTTTAACAGGAGAATCTATCGTGTTCTCCTCCTTCAATTATATCCCAGTGTTCATTTGTGTTGGTTTTTATACATGGAGCCATCCAATGGGACACTGTGGATTAGACCACCCTAGCTGTGGAAGCTTGATGCAATTAATACAGTCTGTCTGGAAAGTGGCCTTATTTCTGGAAGTTTTATGTTAATGATAGGGTCTGTGCTTTGCACATTTCATACCAGAACAAGAAGCACGCTGTAGTTTCATTCTGAACTGGGTTTGATTAACACCGAAGGATCAGTGGGAAGCCAAAGGGTGATGCGGACCGAGATGGCAAGTCCTCACCAGGCCCCCGCTGGCGCGCCGCCTCTGTAATGGTGGAGGGGGTGCAGGGGCTCCTCAGTAGAGCATGAGAGCCTCCATGGAGACTCTGGAGGGAGGGGTGAGTATGGGGGTGGGGGAAGAAGAGAAGTGAGTGTGGATGAACGGTTGTGGACAGAGGCACTCCGTCTGGGGAAGGTTTGAGACGTGCTCTTGTGATTCCCTCTGCAGAGTCGCGTTTGCTGTGAGTCTTCCTGGGCTAACCAGGTCCCAGTGTCAATGGGGGTTGGCTCACTGGAGGCAAAGGGCTCTCAGGGGAGTCATTAAAAATTTAAAGAGTCATCTGTATGCCTTGCGATGTCTACATTGCCAAGGGGGCTGGTGGTCCAGCATTTACCACCCCTGGGTGACTCTTGCATGCTTGCTCAGTGGATTCTACTCTGGTCTGCCTGCTTCCTGGGATCACAGCACTGCAGAGGCTGCTCTGGGCCGCCTGGCTTTAGAACCCAGATACCTCCTTTCATGATTAGGGGAGGTACCAGGAGAAGCCACCGAAGAGCTGTCAGGTCCCCAGGATGGAGGAAGCCGACTCTCTAGGCCGGTGGAGGTGGCAGGGCTTGGGAGGACTCCAGGGGAGCCCACTGTCCGGGAGTCACG